TTACAGCTGCAGTACTTAACTTTTATAAAACAAAATATATTTTTACATATTTGTTGAAACTGTCACCATGTCATGATAGTGTAGCATGAGGCAGATAATCTGTGAAAAGAATAACGCTCCTCTGTCTTCTCCCAGTGCTAAATAGAAACAACCAATCAGAGCCAGGAGGCGGGTCTCAGTGCTGTCAATCATGCCCATGTGCGCTTCTCATCCTATCTCTCACTCTCTTGCTCTCTGATACTTTTCCCCATCAGCAGAGCCTGTCATGAATGCTAATGTTAGTTAGCATAACCACCAATGCATTCAGGAGATTGACAGCACTAAGACCCGTCTCCTGGCTGTGATTGGTTGTTTTTTGGTCTTCAGATGGCAGCAGCTGCTCAGAGAGGAGGTGGAAAAGATTTTCAGAATATCTGTCTTATTACATGCTGTCACAACATGGTGACTGGTTCAGCAAATATTTAAAAAAACATCTTCTAAGAGTTACATACTGAAACTTTAAAGTATACATTCATGTGCTTCTTTTTGTTGGTTTATCACATAAATACCAAATAAGATACATTCAATATTTTGTTTGTAACAAAATGAGTAAAAAGTTCAGCAGTGCTTCTTTCAAGCTGAAACAACCAGCAGCTTGATTGTTTTTCATTCTTTAAGTGTGATGTTTTATGGACGCCATCTTGTTTTGTTATACTCCACAGCTGAAGAGCCGCAGAATAGAAGAATGACACCACAGAAGAAGAGCAACGTCACCCACCTGCCCACCCACCCGACAACTTGTCATTCCATTACAGCAAACTGGTGCCGCTGCGGAGCCACGAAGGAGTTTTGGATTTATAAATATATATATATAAATATTCCCGGCCTGTACAGCTCCCCAAACACTTCCACCCACCCCTCACTCCTCTAGTTCTCAATATGAATATCTCTCTTTCTCTTATGGGATATAATAATTTAAATAAATGAAAAGAAACAGTAATTTTAATTTACAAGAAGCAGGATAATATTCTTATTCACCAAACCAAACTAAGTCTCGAGCGCAGCCTTGTTTGTTTTTTGTTTTGTTTTTTTGAGGGGTTTTTTGGCGAGCGAAACCGTGCACGATCTCGAATGTTTAGCTTCGGTTTCGTTTTTGTTTTGCACAGTCTGTCATCACCCGTCGTCTTCGTGCGAGTAGTTCTGCACTGTGCCAAGCTGAATGTAAACGGTAGCAAGAAAACAAACTCCTAAAAGAAGGGGAAAAAAAAGACCAAAAAAATGAAGAAAAGAGCTCGATCTTATAGGCTAACTTCTGTACATTTTATTACGTCTTCTGAGTTAACCACAGTTTTCTCTGTATAGATTTTACATGCTTCATAAAGGAGGAAATTAAACTTGTTTTGCGTCGAGTAGAAGGTGTCGAACACTACTGTTTCTGTGCTTGTACAGATGTAAAATCGGCACTACTGCACACGTTTCCCCGGAGAGAAAACTGCAAGGAAACGGCTAAAAAAAAATTTTAAAAGAAGGATTTAAAAATAATAAATATAATAATAATGAAAAGAAAGCCGTGCAACAGTTGTACTGTAGATGTATTTAACTAAATACCTGTGGAGGCCATTTGTTCTTATCATCAAGTTAAATTAAAACTGTACTTGTTGGTGGCTTCGTTGGAAGGATTTGAAAAATGCAGAGGGATGAAGTGGGAAAATGAGAATGATCCGGTTAACACAGCAAACTTCCACCCTTTTGGCCTACACAAAGTTGCTAAATGTAATGTTTTTAACTAATATAAGTGGGTATCGTCGCTGTTAATAGACTCTATTTATGTATGTCAGCACACAAACTGCAGCCGATTAGACAGAAATTGAAACTCACAATCGTCACACAATCGTCGTCGTCCAGGAGCTAAAAAAACAATTTCTCTACAAGGGTGCCTCGCTTCTTCAATCATCTTCTTCCCTACTTTTTCTTCTTTTTTTGTAGATGTAAGACCTGTTTTATGCTGGGTTTTATGTGCTGTTATTGTTCAATAGATGGTGTAGATGTTTGATCGATAAGTTTGGGAGATGGGTTGATGGATTGGATCCTCGCTGCTGATCAGCCAGTCAGGAACAGCGAGGTCAAAGGAAGGAAAAACACAAATTGCACATTAATCTTATGTCGTCACGTCGGTGAAAATAAAAGGGTTTATTTAACTAAAACTAACCAGCGGGTGTAGGATTTTTTTTTAGTGTTGTATTTGTTGTATATTTTTTATTTTAGTTTCCACCGCGTTTGTTTTTGGTGTTAATCCTTTAAAGCCCCAGTGCATTGGCGAGAAAGCTGAACCCCAGCATGAGAACACTAACACCTTGCATAAGTGCAATATACTGTAAGATACACTGTATGTCGGTCAGTTTGCTCCTGCCACTCCTCCTTTTGTTTCTCATTGAAGGCTTCTTTCATCACTAGAAACCTGAAACAGCTTTTTATAACGCTGAGACGAAGAAAAAAAAGCTCCTTTTCTGTCGTTTAATTATGAAAACAGATGAAAGAATCCTCAATGGAAAGGAAAAAGTGAGAGCACTGGAGCAAATCCAGCTCCAAAGGGAGGATGGTGTCACGTTTAGACAGGAAAGTCGGGTTTTTCTCGCACTATTCTGAAAAGAAAACGAATAGTAAAAAAAATGTAAAAAGCACTCCATTATGCGGCTGTTTTAGCTTGGAGGTGTAAAGAAGTTTCCAAAGCCCTGTGAAGAGAATAAATGGCTGTCATTGTGTTTCATGAGGTGCAGAGAAGAATATGTAGACGTCTGTGATAATCTGGATTACACTGCAAAAACATAAAATGTTACATATTTTTGGTCTGGTTTCTAGTTCAAATATTAGAACTAGAAACTAGTTTCAAATATTAGAAACTAATTTTTGAAACTAGATACAGGAGCTAGTTTTAAGTAAATAATCTCTTAATATCAACAAAAAATGTACTAATTTCATTGGCAGATTATTTCACTTATAACAAATGAAAAATGTATTATAAGTGAAATAATCTGCCAATGGAGCTAATATATTTTCATCAATATAAAGGAATTATTGACTTAAAATAAGCTGCTATATCTATATAAAAGTTACTTATAAGTTGTTTTTTTCTTGCACTAGGAGCTAGACCAAAAATACTTGGTAAGAATTTGTTTTTTTGCAGTGTAGATAAAACTACTCGATCGTAAACCTTAAAAAAAAAGTTTATCCTATGATCTTCCACCAAAAACTGGATATGAAATGGGTTGCAAAGATCTTATGGTGTTTGCCGAAATTACGTTTTTGCATTGATTCTAAATTAAAACAAAAGTGTAGCCTTTTTTTATTACTGTGTAATAGTTGGTCGATTTTTAAAGGACAGTAGTTTTTTTTTTTTTTTTTTTTTTTTTTCTGCAGGGGGGTGGGGTTTGGGTCAGTGAACGCGGTACTGGATCATTCCTGGAGAACTGGGGCACAAGTCTAACAGGGCTCTGATGATATGGACAGAGACGGGAAGTTTAATGAGATCACAGTTTTGGATTGACTGCATGATGTAAATGTATGTGTGATTAAATAATTATGAGAAAATCGGTCACTTTTCCTGTCTGGTTACTACAATTTCTATTGTCAAGTTAACAGTTTTATGGTTTCTACTTTTTGCTTAAATGTAACGATCTTGTTCAAGAATGGACAAGAAGTTGAGTTTATGGGCAAGTTAGCTTTATTTGTAAACAAGGTAATTGAGAGCTTTATGATAAGAAAATAAAACAAGCTAGCAAAATGATTATGATACAGGGGAAAAGTAGAAAAACTGACCTCCTATGACCAGTTCTGGTCTGCTCTGCATCCGCAGAACCAAAAATGGAGAAGCAGCATTCAGATTCTATGCACCAAAAATATGGAACAAACTTCCAGAAAACTGCAAAACAGCCGAAACACTGAGTTCCTTTAAATCTAGACTCAAAACACACCTGTTTAGAGTTGCTATTTGAACGATAAATTAAAGATCAACATATTTGATGTCTATCATGGCACTTGACAAAATGTAATATTTGTTCTTTAATTAGTGATGATATTTTGGTCACTTTTTGTGTTTTTATAATGTAAAGCACTTTGCTTATTGCTGATATTAGCAATACAAATAAATTTGATTAATTGATTATGATGTTCCAGATATAATGAGTCAAAAGCAACTCTGAACAGGTGGGTTTTAGCCTGGATTTAAAAGAACTCAGTGTTTTGGCTGTTTTGCAGTTTTCTGGAAGTTTGTTTTAGATTTGTGGAGCATATAAGCTGAAAGGTGCTTCTCCATATTTGGAGAACATGGAGATTCTCCAAACATGGTTCTGGGATGCAAAGCAGACCAGAACCTGAATACTTGAGAGGTCTGGAAGGTTGCCATGACAACAGCAGATTTTTAATGTATTGTGATGCTAAGCCGTTCAGTGATTTATAGAAGGGAGTATTTTAAAGTCTATTCTCTGAGTATAGGAAGCTGGTGGACAGAGTTATTTTAGTTAGACCTGTGAATACAGTTGCACAATGCCACTAAAGATTAACTTCTGGATGAGCTTTTCTACTAGGCCGACTCCTTTAATCCTAGAAATGTTCTTCACGTGTTAGAAGGCTGATTTTGTAACTGTCTTTATGTGGTTCTGGACGTTCACCCAGATTCAGGCCGGATCACTAGTTTCTAGCTGTAATAACTGAAGTTGTGCTGACTGTAGATTCCTCTTTAGGTCCAAAGATAACTCCAGTTTTGTTCCTGTTCAGTTGGAGAAACTTGTGGCACCTCCGTGTTTTGTTTTTAAGCATCTATCTAGCACTTGTAGTTTTACATTATTGCCGCGAGAGAGCGCTTATTCCCTGTTTGCATCTTTAACACCTGAGGGGCTCGAACCATGTCATTCCTTATAAAGACGATGGCTCACTCTCACCGTATTTCCGTGACAAATATCTAAAGAGCCTCTTGGAAAAAACGCACACTTAGTCAACTGATAATATCTGGATGCGCAATATCACACAGTTCGCAAAATAATTACATCTTAGCACACTGTAAATAAATCATCTTTTCGTTTCCGCTGAAAAGTCTTCACAGTGAAATGTCGCGTGAGTAGACGATCTTTGCTGAAAGGTGGTTGCCGAAGTTGTCAGAAGCAGGCGAGAGTCCACGAGAACGGGAACTGTTGTGGATTACCCACCCCACACATACCGAACAGGGAAGGACGGGATTGTCCGAGAAACTTTAAAAAAATAAATAAGAAAAAGACAACCGTTCAATCGGACACGGTGGCAGCTCCGAGGAGAAAAGTTTCCCGGGATTTAAGTTCGCAGAGGAGCGCCGGAGTTCGCCGTCCTTTCCCGGGAGGACTCACAAGCGGAGGCACGTTCAGGTGCGGATCTTTGGCTGGGACACTCAGGAATGTTTTAGCCACAAAGCTAATTAGCTAGGCTAATGTTAGCGACAGATTAAGGCAGGACGGTGGACATTTAAGACGAAACTTTGCTTTAAAATTCATAAACATGAGCTACAATTAAATCTGCAGCCTGTTCTTAAAGCGCATAAATGAATTTTCACACTTTGTAAATATAAAAACAGGAGCAGGAAATGTAATTTTCTCACTATATTTGGCGAACTAGTAACATTAAGTCAAAATAAATAATACAAGTCAAGACATATATTTGTCTTTTTTTTAAATCGTAAAACTGATAGAAATTGTATAGTTTTGCGAAATGACAGTAAGTAAATAAATCTGTTTAAAGCAAACATCCATTTATACTCCCTAAAGGTTCAGTTTGCGTCACAATAAATCTGATTTATTTGTAGTTTATAGTGTATTTTTATCTCACATTGACAGTCAAATTATAACAGCAAATTCACTTCATAAATCATAGTTTTACATTTAAATAGTTGGTTGATAGTCAAAACTGGAGCACAAAACCTTCACATAGAAAATGATTATTGGTTTTGGCTAAAAATAACAACAAAAATAATCACAGTTCTGTTTGTCCTGACCATTTTAGTACAGAAAGAACAATATATAGATACATATTGACATATACTTTAAAAAAAATATCTTTCCGGTCAGTTAAACTGGGGCGATAAAAACATGTGGTGTTTATGTATGTCATGTTGCAATCTGTGTTAAGTTAAGCAGAGAAGCGATGTAGGCAGAATGTTTGTTTCATTTTGTTGACATGTATAATCTAAATAATAATGTCATCAAATATTGGTTATCAGCAACAACAGCAGTACTAATACCAGATATTATTGGCCCAAATGTTGTGTTCATATTTATTATACCTTTTATATAACGATGCGTTCATTCAGAGATGCATCAATCAAGCTTTTGTGGGCTGATACTACTGTATTTTTTTAATCTGATCTGCCAGTTTGAATTAATCTTTTCACACTATGACGCATCATAATTTACTTGTGTGATTAAGTTTTAGTTTAATTAAAGTTGAAAAGAACATAAAAAGCGTTTCAGGTTCTTTGATATTTTAGAATCCAGTGAAAATTAGGGAAAGCAAACAAACATGCAAAAAACAAAAACATTTTCGTGCCAATAACCAGAACTAGCTCAATGATTGGTGCATTACTAGATTTGTAGGTTTAAGTTTTCCATAAATCACAGTTTAACCTTTGTCCGTCATTGTTTTTCAGTTTTCTTTTCTATGTGTCAAATAAATAATGCATTATTTGCCGTAGATATATAGTGGATATAGCACATTTTCCAAAGGATCCCAAGGACACCTGACATTAAGGACCATTTTTCCGTTGAGATATTGGTTGTGTGGGAGGAGAAATGTGGGACGACCTGCTCCGATGCCTCCTCCAGACACGGCCTTCCTGCTTGTGCGCTGGCAGGTTGTGTGTGTTCCCGTTTAAGTGGGCTGCAGCTGACTGTGTGACAGATTGTGGTTATACTCGTCCTAATGAACCTCAGGGAGCTGGGTCTCCTGGAAAGTGTTGGTGTGACGTTCCTAACTGGGGCGGTTTGTGCGTAAACAGAGTTGTTTGGGGCAACTTGGGGGCCTATATTTGGTGTGGCTGCATGCAGAGGTCACAGCCTGACTGGCTCTGCTAATTTCTAATGTTCGTCATTTTCCATCCAGTGTGTCAAAGAAACTTAAAAAGTCTGAAATTCATTTAAAAAGTAATTTGGTCTTAAATTTGGTCTTTTCAGAACTGGGTAATCTGGTATATTCTATGTAATCTCTGTGACTGGAGACGGTTGAGATCACGCTAACTAGCTGCTAACATATCCTTGCCAGCGAGCCAGCTTTTTTTTGCGTCTATCATGGCTAAAGTGCTAATTTATTGCCAGTTATCTGGATAAAGTTCATCCATTTCTGTGGAGCTAGAGGTCTTAAATTTAATTCATAATGATCTTAAAAAGTCTTAAGTCTAAGTTGGTGAAACTGTGTTATTCACCTTAAAGGAAGCGCTTACGCATGAGTTAGTGCTGACTCTATCTCTAGGTTTTTTGGGGGAGGTTATCAATAGAAGTGCTAAGTTGCGTTTCTAGTCGCCCACAAAACGATCCTGAAACTGAAACTCCAAAACCAGCGACTTTGAAATGAGTTGAGACTAAATGCTTATTTGGTGCATGTAAATGTATGTTAATTAAATCACAAGCTTTGTGCCAAACCAGTTTTTCTTGAGGAGATATAAAAAACCATGTCACTAAAACGTCTACGCTCAGAAAAGTGTCTATTTAAAAATATTATAGCAGCAAAGTGACAATTAATATACAAATATTTTAAAAACTTCAGATTTCAATAAGAATTGTTGATTTAATTATGTTTGGTTCAAATGCAGGGCAGTTAAAACCAAGGAGTTTCCAATGGGCAGAATTTAGTAATTATTTAATATGATAAAATATAATTAAATTCTACTTAGTATTTTTGATAGCATGATAAATAATTAAAAGTTTCTTTTTGCTATGAATAGGCTATTTGTTTTGTAAAATTAATTTAGCTCAGTTACGTTTTTTAAGTGTAGTGTTATGCACAGATGTATATTAAAGAGGAAGTTCAGATTTTTTTGTATTTATTTTTTTGGTGTAAAATCATTGTCTTTTGTCTTCTTCATTTAGAGAAAATATAGATAATTTCCCAGGTAAAGATAGTCATAAAAGTGGTTTTCCACCACCTTAAGCACCTCTATTTTCTGTAATACCAATGCATCAAGAAACCTTTTATCTGCTGTTATGTTTGCTCTAAAGAGTTATTTACCAGAAATCAACCAATCCTAGCAGACACTTACTTCCTCCTGCCTTTCTTTTTTGTCCAAGAATTGCAGCAGATCATGGAAAAAAGCTGCTTCAGGTGATGATAGCTCTGAATCAGATGATGAAATAAGATTATCTCAATTTATGCATCAAAGAATATGTTTACCACTTTTATCTGATTTCTTCTTGTTGAACTCAGAAAAGTACATCAAGGGGAAAATGGATGATTTTTTGATGCTTTATCTGTTATTTAGATAAAATTCAGGTATTTTTCAACAAATATAATAGCCATTGATGTATGCATGTTAAGAAAATGTTTTAAGTGTATCCAGCAACTTGTAGTCTCTTAAACTAGGGATGCACCGATATGAGGATTTAGGCCGATACCGATATCCGATATTAATGCTGCTGTTTTGGTTGATAACTGATATTTACTAGGAGTGCACAGACAAATCGTTCGGCTGATAAATCAGCCTTGATTTCCCTAATTATGGTAATCAACCAATACTTTCATGGGAAACTGATCTCATCCACTGTTATCGACCTCCCCAAAAGTCTGAAAATCAGCCACTTTGACACCTTTTGACAACTGAGCAACTTTGTCAATATATCAAGCGACTCTTCAGACAAATCAGTATCAGAATTAGGACGGCACGGTTCTCAAAGATCGGTGATCGGCCAGAAAACTGTAATTGGTGGAACTGTATGTGGTTCCCAATCTGGAGGCCTTTGCTGCATCTCTTCCTCACAACAAAACTTTAAAACATTTTTTTTTTTTTCTTGTTTTGGACTTTGTGATCACCTGTCAGAGCCGGTCATGGGAAGATTGGCTGAACCTGAAGGAAATGCAATTAAAATAAAATGAATGAATATGTTATTATATTATATTTTAAGAAAAAAATAATCGAATTTGGTATGAAAACAAATCTGTGATTTTCATTTTTAAACAAGATTACTCAGCTTTATCTGGTATTTAAACTTCTGTTTTTAGAAAATGTTTTTACAGTTTTTTCCCCTAAACTTTGCAAGTCTGTTTTCACTGAGTCATGATAAAAATATTCACATTGGCCCTCATGAGTACAGACGTTTTAACACTCCTAAGAACTTCCTATCTTTATAAGTACATCATTATAATGCAAATTTCCAACTATTGCTCTCGCTGTAACAAAAGTTCAGTGTTACTTCCCTTCTCTCAGATTTCACCAGAATGGGTGAGTGATTTCCTCTGTGTGATGAAAGCAACCGAATCACAGTAATCAGTGGCATCCCGGCCTCAGAGCCCTGCAAACAGGAATCATGTGAAACGGTCAGCAGCTGAGACGGGCGTGCTTTTTTTTTTTTTTTCTGCATGTTTCCTCACTCTGTTATTCATGTCTCAAACCTCCAGACCACGCCTCTCTGTAAAGCTTATTACCATCACTTTAAATTAACGTACCGCCTCTGATTTTGCTGATTGGACTCTGGGAAGATTTGTGCGGTTTGCTAAATACCAACGCAGAAGCAGAGGCTTAGTCTAGGTGGGGATAAGTAAAAAAGACAAACAGCCTGAGGGTAATTAATCTTCCTCACGCCTTTCTTTATGAAGAACAAAGGCCAGGAAGTATCCATTGTTTTCAGCTAAATTATTTTCAAAACTTTCTATAATTTGCTTTAGAGAGAGAAACATACAAACTACACTGTTGAAAGTGTTTGTAATGATCCATTTTTTAAAAACGTTTTTATTATTTGCTAATACACTATTTTCTTCTAATGCTATTTAAAGTTGAAAACCTTAATTTCTCACATTACATCCTTAAGTCTGAGCATATTTCCGTTTTTCCAATAATTAAAGTGAATCTAAGCAGTTACAAAAAATAATTGTACTAAAAGTATTTATCATTTAGAAAACTTGACTTGATTGTATCTCTGTTATACAAATGGATTTCAACCAGAAAATGAGGCGTTTCCTTCTGCTTCCTTTAAATAAAGGGTCTCCAAAGGGAGGCCTGAGGGCCATTTGTGGCCTTTGAATTGATTTTGTTTGGTCCCTGACCACAAATCAAGAATGGTAAGAAATTTGGTCAACAAATTAGAAAAAATCAGTGACAGAGAAAATTAGGAAATTGTCTGTTTTCCTTTTTTATGTTTTGAATTTTTAATAATATACAAATTTAATAAAAGATTTGTTTATTGTTAAACAGGGAAGAGTAAAAAAGGGAAAGAAAAGTCAAAATAACAAAATTTTTGCATTTTTAATTAATGAATTTTGTGGCTCATCAGTAGTTTAAATTTGCCAGTTTTGGGCCCAGGGTACAAACTTTGGACATCACTGATCAAGAAACAGCTGGAAAATAAGCCTTTTCCCAGCATTTATTCTCGTTGATGATGATGATGTATTTCTGATTTCCATCCAGAAGTGTCAGAGTTTTACATGTTTCTGTTTTTGCATTGGGAAATCATTTTAATTTGATTGCTTTGGCACAAATAGACATTGTCTTGCTTTATTTAATGGGATGTATTCAAGTAAACAATTTAAACCAACTCATCAAGACGGCAACAAAAATGAATTGATACAGTTGATGTGCTAAAACAGATTTAATCTATTCATTTTAATTTTATGGTCGTCCTCTCTAGTGCAGCTGGTTGAATTAAAAGATTAAAGGTGAACAAGGAAAGCTTCCTCTTGTTCTTTGTATTTTTCATTTGGTTAATGGATTTCTGTCCAGACCAGCCACTTAATCTGTGGGGAAATTATCCAGTGGATCGGGAATAATCCTGGCACGTTTAGCCTAATCACACCTAATCACTGATCTTCATAAAGCTACTGTCCAGCTGATCGAAAATGCTGCTTAATAACTGGAAACGTTTTACTTTTTAACTGCAGTAGCTTTTAAATTCTGTTGGAGGGGCCACATAAATTCAGTTTCAGGGCCCACAAATGGCCCACGCGCCGCACTTTGGGACACCACCGACATAAAGTATGTGCATTCCAAGTTAGCTACGGCTAATGAAACCTGGAGATGTAAGTATTATTAATTCAGTGCAGTGCGCACAGCAGTGGGAAAAATAACAGAAAAATCGTTGAACAACAACAAAAACATTCATATTCTTCTTTTCTCTTGCGCTCTCTGTTGGCTACAATACACACAGACTTGTTGCCATAGCAACCGACTGACAACAGCACTACTAATGTATCGGGATTCAACACCAAAAAAAGTGTTGAAGTGTTGAAAATTAGTAGCAAAGCAGTGCGTCCCTTTTCCTTTTTATATACCACATGTACATTTCAGATTTAGCGTGTTATGTTGACAACTTGACTGCTAAAAACAATGGCAGTCATCATCCGCAGTAAGCACTTTTTTTCCCTTTCCTCCAGCAGGATCTTTGGACGTCACAGTGCAACGAGTCCATAGAAATGTTGGGATTTGGTTGTTGATATCACCTGCTAGAATGACTTTAGTTTTACTTTTTTAGCTTAAACTTCTACTCCTGGTTGTGTGTTTATTTTTATTTATTTTCAAATAGGGAAAAAAGCTGAGTAAACTTTTTCTGTTTTGACCAAGTTTTGGTTTTGCAAAAAGGAGGGAAAGCACAGGCTGTAGAGGAAGTAGCGCTCTGAATTTACGACACAAGACAACATGAGATCACTGCTGAGAAACGGATTACAACACAACTAGTTTTTTCTCTCTTTCTTTGGACCCTCAAGTTGTATTTATAAAGAAAATGCCTCGTATAAAAGCTTGTATATTTTATTCAATCTGCTGCTAAGTGTAGATAAATAGTGGAAACAATGGCTTACACTTAGATGTTGTACGAGGGACGTTAGGTGTGTTTGTGTGTTTATAAAAGTGACATCAGCAGAAAGCTATGTGAGTGACTCTACTGATCTCCCCGCTCAGCAGCAACATGCCTGAGTTGTTACTGTACCTACTGTCCTTTAGCTCAGCGCAGAGCAAAGTAAATGAAGACTGCATGACTCGCCTCGCTCCCCTCCTGGCTAATCTCATGTGATGATTTCAAGTTCTGAGCGGGACGGTGCATTCAGCCTTTAAAGAGGATTAAATCCTCTCCTATTGTATCTTATTTGTCCACTGTGATTGGTTTCCCAGAGTATTAGGCTTCAGAAACCGATGGTGCCTTTGTTTAAACATTTGTTGCATAAGAGATTAAAAATAGAAATAATTTCTGATTTCTTCTTCTCTTTTTTTTCCAGAACATCAAAGTTTTAACATTTCTCCACCTTAAATTTTGAACTTTCTTTAAACATGGGCACAATTCTTTAATTTTCTTTAAGTTAAAGTTTCTCAAACTGACTAATAAATGTTTTGCTATTTTATGAAGGTAAAACATCTTCACAGCTAGGCCAAATGAGTCAGGGCAGTAACGGGAAACTGTGCCTAAGTTTGAGCTTTTTGTAATAATCAGGTGCATTTATCATATTCATACTGTTGTTTATAAATGTGGAATCTAAAATCTTCTGTTCAAAACTCCTACAGGCAACAAAATGGCATTAAGTAGGCCTGTCATGATAACAAATTTTTGCTGTGCAATAAATTGTATTTATTTGATTTTGTGTTTGCTCTGTTTCCAGGTCTGCTGCTGAGCCATGGTGGTAAATATTTCCCTCTTATGCTGAGCCGCCTTGTGGGACAGTCAGAGGCATCATGGCGGATTTGCCCATCGCGCCGGGCGAGATCTACATCGAAGTCGAGTACGACTATGAGTACAAGTCCAAGGACCGCGTCATCACCATTCGGGAAGGGGAATGTTACATGCTGATGAAGAAAGCTAATGAGGACTGGTGGCAGGTGAGGAAAGACGAAACCACAAAGCCGTTTTACGTACCGGCTCAGTATGTGCGTGAGGTCCGGAAAGCCCTCATGCCGCCACCGAAACCCCTCTCACACTCCCACTCTGCGTCTGGAAACTCCAACCCACGCAGCGGCGCTTCCCTCTGGGTGAAACCAAACACTCTGGACCTGGGGATCAATAACCAAGCCGCTGACTCCCTTCACCGAAACGAGTCCAAAACCCGGCGCTCTCCTTCCGCCCAAACTGCCTCTTCAGCCCACTTCAGTCCCCCGATCCCCCGCAGGAACAGTAACCACCACCATGCTCCCGGTACGCCCACCGAGCACGAGCGCTGTCTTGCAGAAATCCTTGTTCAGGGCGGCTTACCCCTAAAAGGCTCGTCCAGCACCCTGCCTCGCACCCGCACCCGGTCGCCGGACTCGCTGAGGGCGCCGCCGGACGCCACGCAGCACTGCGACTCCGCAGGAGAGGAGAGACGCACCAACGACTCAGAGTCGGGAGATGAACTGAGCAGCTCTTCGACTGAACATCTCCAGGTCAGAATCGTCTTCTGTTGCTTTAAGCACGTTGGTCAGCAGCAGGGGTGCCGGGTTTCCTGCAGTGTTTTATAAGCCTGGCGTTTGTTTTATAAGCTTGGCATGGCTGGTTTATTTATCTTAGTTTTATTAAAGTTAGCATTATAGCTTAGGTTTTGTTAATAATGTCTTCCATTAATGCATAATTACTAGTGATATTTTCAAATTCTCTGTCAGTATAGTAGACTGCCGGATGATTGCCCTAGCGCCCCGACCACCGGGATTAGAAAGTTTTCAGGGCGAAGCCCTGGGGATGCAAGCAGTTAATCAACTTGGCATTAATTAATGGTTTATTAGATTAAAATTAGTCCCAATCGATTAGCAACCTACTTTTAGTGTTGTAGTTTGGCCTCCATCCAGTAGAGGGCGCTGGTGGTTATAGGAATGAAAAACTTTCCAAACAGAAACATTCTCTTCATGTGGTTCTGTTTTGAAATATAAATATTTGGCAAGCTTCTTGAAGCTTCACTATGCAACTTTTAAAAAATATATTTTTTTTTTACATATTTGTTGAAACTTTCACTTTCATGACTGTATGGCATGAGCAGATAATCTGTGAAAAAAATTGAGCTCCTCCACCTTTGGCAATGTCACATTGCTAACTAGAAGCAACCAATCAGAGCCAGGAGGAGGGTCTTAGCGCTGTCAATCACCCAAATATGGAGCTGCTGCTAAACCCCACTCCATCCCTTTTTAAATGTGCAGTGCGTAACTTTTATTTTTAAAATGTGCCAAAGTTTTTAAAGTAAGACAAAAAACCTTTTCAAACATTTTTAAATGTCTCCTTAAACATTGTTTGAACAAGGTTGAAAATATTTAACCAAGTAACTAAGCAAGTACAAGAAAAATACATATCTTATTGATATTTAAATTAAAGAAGGTAAAACATCTTCACAGATGTGCATTTAGATGAAAATACTGCATAAAGTTTTCCTTAGAAGGTTGTTCTTAGTGTTTTATCTTAAAATACTGAGCCAACTCTCTTCTTTGTATTGACTAAAAATACCAACTCCTTTGTTTTTGTTTTTGACCTTTTCTGTTCGCTGCGGTGTTCAGCATCATGTGTCCCCTCTCACCGACGTCACAACAGACTGATTATGTTTTCTCTGAAAGGTTATCAGAAGCTCAGCATATGCAGTTTCAGTACATAAAGCGGAGCTCCTTCCTTCCTCAACATTTCTTTGCCCCAGTTTAATAGCAACAAAGGTCAAAGTAGTTACGCTCATTCCATTTTGTCCTCAAGCAGTCCGGCTTTGGCTGTCAGCAACTCGTCTGCACTAAACTCGTTCCTGGGTCAGGTCAGTGTTACCTGACACACATGCATTTAGCATTTTAAAATTTTATCATTTATTGTTTTAGACTCTGAGCATTTAAAATAAAAATCAGAGGTACTGTGAATGTGAACGCTGCATATCACTGCGTGTTTCCAGTCCTGCTGAAATGCAGCCGCAGCTAAAACTCCTGAAAGCAATCACCAAAAAGAGTAACGATGCTCAACTCTGTGCCAGTTTAATTACGTAATGGTTGAAGATGCAGTTGGTTTGAAAATTTAAAACATGCAAATATTTATAGCTGTGTGACAACAAGGACAATAAATTATAATTTTATGGGGGTTTTTATGCTTTAGTTGAGTATTTTTGGCTGCAGAACAACCATTTATGAAGCAAAGAAATTATTTATCAGAAGTACTTTGTTTTCTTTGAACCCGTTTGTCTAGAGCAGGGATGTACAAACTTTTTGTCACTTGGGGGCCAAGAAAATAATAATAGTAAAAAAACAATTATTATTATAATTATCATTAGTTTGTAATTGGGTTATGTTGGATCCAAACCTTAAAAATGATTTAGCATGTTTGCTATATTCAAAGAAAGACGTGTAGTTTTCAAATTATTTTGGTCTTAATTGAACAAATTTATTTGCAGTTATAAGAACAGGATTTGGGTCACTTTCCTTCAGAATGCATGCTAATATTTCACCAAGTTCAAGTATTTAATTAGGACAATGTGAACTGTATGGCCTACGAGATAATTTGCTAAAAAATAAAGGGAACTGAGCTAAATAGAAACCGATTTTCGGTAAAAGTCTCTAGATAAACGAGGTTCTATTTATGATAAAATCTTGTGATAAAAAGACGAATACTTTGTGTTGGACTTCAACTAATTTTCTGGCAATGGAAAATGTTATTTTCTTACTTAAAAAGCAGTAGAATTATGTTTATTTGCATATTTTAATGTACTTCGAATGGTGCGTAAAAAGCTTAAATGAAAAAATTGCAGAAAGTGACAATTTTCATCATAGTAATACGAATAATAACAATACTTATACTTTATTATATTATAAAATGACACTAAGTATATAGATAACACATAATTCTGCGCCTTTAATGGTATTAAGAACAAATTTAAGGCAAAGAAACCCAAAAGAAGTAGGAAAATGTTCTAAACCAGAACCACAGTGTAAATGGAACAGAGTAGAGGCGCGTGTGTTTGTCCGGCGGTTGGGTCGCACTCCTTTTTTCAAGCCTCTCCAGCTCCTGCTGACACGCTGCTCAAGTGGAGAGTTAAGAGTGGGATGTGCCGAAGTTGCCAAGCTCTTATCTGCTGGCTGGAGCAAACACAGAGAACCACTTTGTCAACAAGCAGTTGCCTCTGCTCTTTCATTGTTTAATCCCCTAGCTGTTGTCTCAAACTGATTTCACTTAGTTATGGCCAGTAAAAAGAGAGGTTTGGTTTGTTTTTCAAAAATAAAGGATATTATGAAAAAATTCAGTATTTTTTGTTGCTTACGTCAACGTCATGCTGCATCAATGCAGTAAATAACACAAAAACACGCCCAACCAAATACTGAGTGCATGGAAATGAGGATATTTCTGACATTTCTTATTTAGAAAATACTTTTTTGATCTTATGTAATATTCTAAATGTCTAAGACTTTAGATTTTCTAAAACAAGTGTCAAAAATGGACATCTTCAATAAGGTTGAAATGATCAATTGGATTAATCGTGATTAATCAATTATTGATTAATTGTCAACTAATATAGTAATCATTAACTGGAGTATACAGACTCAAAAAAAGTAAATTTGCTGAAAAACAACACATTTAGAACAGTAATTAAGAGAAAACTACAAGGTAAATATATTTGCTTGCAAGACGAAAACAACTTGGTTTGTAAAAATGTTTTACTCAGAACTTCTCAAATAGTTAGTTTTAGCTTCACCTGGTTCAGATTCACATTCATTTAAAAGAAAACTGAGTTATGTTTATTTTAATACAGTTTGAATATTGTGTAAAAAAGAGTTAACTGGTCAAATGAAAAATCTGCACAATGTGCTAATTTGTCTGATAAATCATCAGTTTAAAAATATATTTTTTAATCTTTTGTAATATTCTTAATATCTGAAACAAAAATGTTGCATTTTCACTACGCATTAGTCATAATCCTCAAATTTACTAGAAATATTTCACTGGATGTATACTGAATCTTTTATAAAAACAAGTGACCTTTTCACAATGTTCTACTTTGTTTTTGCTGTTTTTGTATGTCAAACATTAGAAATGAATGAAGAAATGCCTGTAAACAAGCCAGTCATGATATTTCTATTGCGGTTGACCATAAATTCTAAATATTTCAAACTCACCATCTGATACATCACTGTACCAACGTGCTTTCACCGCCTGAAAAAGCTTCCAGCCGCCTGGGATTGGACAGTGAACTCAGTGAAGCAGACGCTCCCCTGTAGCCACTTAATAGAATAGCTGTCAAGGTCTCAGTGTGTTTTAATTTGCTGCTTCGCTGCACTTTCTCGTCTGCTGCTTTTCATCATCCCGCTGCCTCCGGGATCATAATAATCCTTCGTCATTTGCTGTAAAATGTTTGTAAGAACCCAACATGATGAGCTGAAGCTAAAAGTCACTTTTCCTCTAGAAAGCATTCTGTTTAGAGCCGTCTCTCTGCTGCAGCCGACTGCAGGACAAGGCATCAGTTTTAAAAAGTAAGCTTTAGGTGAAGGATAACTCTGCATTGTTTGATTTAGTGTGATTCACCATGCAGAGTTCAAATATTGCATCTTCCATATGATTGTTGGAGGCATCGGTTTTGATGATTTGTGTGGAGAGAATGGTCTGACTTTAGGGCGTTAAAATTGTGGTTGCTTGAAGAAAAAATTAGATTCCTGTTTGTTTCTTCCAACCAGTTCCCAGTTGCCTCAGGTGGCATAAACCCTGAAATAGGCTGACCTAAAAAATGAGGTCATGGGGGTGGGGAGTTGAGTCGGTCTCGTTGGACTGTCAAATATTTTTAGGATGTATTCCCACCTGATGGTCCAGTAGACTCTGTCTGATTGGTAACCAAAATTGCAACATTTGTTATATTTTCAGCTGCTGTATTTTGCTTTCATGCTGCACTGTGTCAAACACACCAAACTATTCCCCTCCTCACCTGTGGTGGTGCTGCACCAATAACTACTGAGGTAAACGACCACACCAAAGTTCCCTTCAACCGAACCGAGACAGATTTGTAGGTGGACCAGAGTTTGCTTTTTTGGTCCTCACCAGAATTTGATTGTGTATTCATACATACTAAAATAAACCGAACTTTAAAATCGAATTAACTACGGTTTAATTAAACCGGAATAAGCAGAGCTGGTGTGCATGCACCCTAAAATAATAATTTTTTATTTTTTTTTTTCACAGTTATTACTTATTTTTTAAATGCAGTTTAAAAATTGGGTGCAACGTCAACAAGCTTACTCGCAATTTGGAGTTGTGTGTTGCTTGCAGACCCTGCACCCTTGGTTTAACTGAAATCTAATGTCGTTGTACCTGGGTGTTCAATACATCTTTTATCTTTTGGACAATTAATCTTAAATATTAAAACTGATGGTGTGTAAATCAGTTGCTTCTTGGCACTTTTAACTTCTGTCTCACCACTTGAAGTAGTTTGAGACTTTACTTATCCCCTCTGAACCTTGATTGTCACAGTTAATAGCACCTCTCCACCCTGATGAGCCCCACTGCTCTTTATGAAATGAAATGTAATCAGCTTAAAACCTCCAACTACTCCCAGACACAAGATTGATTGGAGGAAGCAATTCCTCGTGTGTTTGATTGCCTCCTTACATTCACACAGCTTCTCGTGTCCTAATTAGATCTTTTTCCAATTGATTTGCAAAAAGTGACACAAGGAAGAAGTTGAGCAAAGTAAAAACACTGATTCTGGGAACACCTGAGTGGTTTGCATTGTCTGTTGATTCTCCGTTTATTGAGATGTCCGATGGTAGCAGCATCCCAAATGTCCTTCAGCTGTAGACCTTCAGATGGAAACACGGCAAAGCTCAGGTCGTAATTTGGAAAAATGCAAGATTGTTTTTTTATATCCTTGGACTGTTTTGTTTTTAATCTTTTCGTACACTTTGTACTAAAAGAAGATTGTGACTTTGACCTAAACGAGGCCACCACCAGTTTGCTAATTTCATCCCAGATCTCATCTTAGTTTGAAACAGATCTCATCTTAGGGCTGAAACGATTAATCAGAAAATTAATTGATCAGCGATTGATTAATCGTTTACAAACTCAAAACATGCTATTTACTGACAGGGTAAATGGCATGTTTACTTTTTGTAAACATGCCAGAGCAAACATGCCAAAACATACTTTTTTACAAAAAGTAAACATGCCAGAGCAGTGATTAAGCCAAAACTGTGAAAAAATACATACATTTTCCATTTAAGATAAAAAAATAAATAAATCTGTAAATTTGTTCTCCCAGATCCCTTCAAGTCTTCCAGATGCACAGTTTTTGCTTCACCTGGTACAAATTCTTAAAAAAAAAGAAAAGAAAAGAAAAAAAATCTCCTAGATTAACCAATTATTAATTTCTTAATCCAAAACATAATCAACAGATAATCCCTATATGTGAAAAGCTCAGAAACGTATATCATCACATAAAGATGATATAAGTATTTTTTTAGCTGCAGATGCATCTGCTGCTACAAATGCACTGCAAAACCACAACATCTTCCTAAGTAATTTTGGTCTGGTTTCTGGTGGACGTATCTTGAAATAAGACAAAACTAACTCGCAAGTAATTTTTTAG